TTGTTGCAGGCCATTCCGCCGATTCCGACAGGAGCACACTCGCACAGGAGCGGTATATCCCAGCGGTACAGCCCGATGAGGGGCAGACACACGCATAAGGGAACATACCTATTTCGCTCATCATCAGTCATTACTCGGTACTCCTTGCGTAAAGCTCTGCCCATAAATTGTCCATTAGGCAATTGGCAACCGGATCCCCACGGTCTTCCTGATAAGTCAGTAACTGTTACTGAAATCGCTGTAAGTCCACGAATTTAAGTTGCCTTACCACCAAGAAAGCCGCACACACACGCCATGGTAGCGCAATCGTAGTAAGTGGAAGAGTCTGGCGGAAATCTATTTTCTTCCGGTGGGTTCCAACGATTTCTCTGCTCCCTTTCCTAAATGCGAATAAATACTTAGTTAGGATCGATATAACTGTACCGAAAAATGGTTCCATTGTGATTGTTTATTATTGGAAATTTTAGTAGGAAAGAATGTAATGCAGAAGAAACCTAGTAGTGAAGGCTTGGCTTTCTTATTTTTCGCACTCGGAAACAACTGAAAATCTGCAGAAAGTTCAGCGAAATAGTTTTCTTTGTCGAGGCTACCTGGGATAAAACTGAACAATCAGCCAGCGACTGCGAAAGAGCCCACATTTTTTCGGTGAAGGCGAAGCTCCCACGGCGGACAGGAAGTAACTAGTTACTGAAGGAACGCGGAATGCCTGCGTCATTCGTTGGTCACCTGGCGTCCCCTTGGTTTCTGTGCAACCATGTTAGGCGTTTTTGAAGAGTCTTGTACAGCTCTCATTTTGTAATCGCTCGAAAAAAATTGATACCTCGTCACAAAACGCTGAGGACTGGGTCACACCGTTGTGAAGATTTTCTAAGTGAAAACTCGCTGAATTCAGCGATCTTCACATGTAAAATCTTTACAACAACGTGGGAAGGCCCCTAAAATGCATTCAAAGATCGTGCCTGATATCGAAACGTTTTCGGGGTTATCATCAGTGTTTCCACTTCCACGCCCAGGTGACTAAGAAGGGATGAGCCCAGGTCGAAGTGACCTTTTCTGGTGGAACTTAAATTTCCTGCATTCTCCAATACTGATATCATATCCGCTTACAGAAGCCGCTGAACATTCCTTATAATGAACACACGAAAGTTTCTTGCTCTATAATGTATGTAGGTGCCGACTTTTTTGGAAAATCTATTTCTATTGATTTTTACAGTCCTCATCATTACGTACTGTCGGGGCGGCACAGCCGCGCTGCACTGTGACGCGACAGCGGCTGCGGCTCGGTGACGGTGAATCAGCTGATTTCGATGGAATTCGGCTGCAAATTCCCACTTTTTCAGCTCTTCAAGCTTCTAAAGTGGAAGGTGAGTTATTCTGACCAATTTAGAATTGTACTGACTCTGAATGAATCTGAAAGAATGTAAGCCATTTGAATAAATGCCTGAAATAAGGCAAAATACAAGGAAAAGAGCATAATAATCGACATAAAAAAAGGAAATCAGAGCCAGTACAATCAATGGTCCACAATTCAAAATTGGTCAGAATAACTTCCACTTTAGAAGCTTGAAGAGCTGAAAAAGTGGGAATTTGCAGCCGAATTCCATCGAAATCAGCTGATTCACCGTCACCGAGCCGCAGCCGCTGTCGCGTCACAGTGCAGCGCGGCTGTGCCGCCCCGACAGTACGTAATGATGAGGACCGTAAGTGCCCAAAAAGGAGTGTCATGTTGATGAAACTGAGCATTCTCGACACCCCTTCCTTTTCCCACTCAACTGAATAACTAAAATCGATGAGACCCAATCGATAAAAATATGTCCAAGAAACGCCATCGATTAGGAAGGTGCACAACAGTGTAAATCAAAAATTCCAGGTCACAGACCATCCATCCCATCGAACCTGCTACACTACTGGATTCGATTGGGAGTCTACTGAAGCAGCTTATCTATGGAAATTCATGCCAAAGAATGGAATTGGGAGGGTGCCCCATGCAATGCGCATTCACATCGTCCTAATTCCCATCCCTTGAACACTTGAACCAACTTCAACACGTCAGGAGAAGCATTCTTCCTTGGTCACACACCAAACAAGTTGTCGTGACTTTCGTACGACTCTTTTAAAGGGTCGCGTTTATGGTTGGGCGCGGCGGTCCTGGCGCGCTTGGCGGAACGGTCGAATGTTCGCGAAGCCGCTAGGGATGCAGAGTCGGCGTCGACTCTGGCCTGTCTGTCACTTCTACGTCCTGCAGCCGTCTCGACTGGTCGCTCCGCTCCGCTCTACTCCCAGTGTCAACGTCATCGTCTATCTATGCTGGTCGCAGTCTAACATCAACGAGCAGTACCACGCAATGGAGCCGCACTACTACAGGCCGCCGACTATCCCAGGTAACCACTAGAGGCGGAGGTGCATCCGAACCTCCTGGGCAGCCGGAGGGGAGGATGTTCCCGAGGCCCCTAGTGGGCTGTTCCCTCGTGGCCCGTAGGCAGTGAGGCAGGGTTCGTCCGTGTAGGTTAGGGCCGTACCATTATTCTTGTAGTAGTTTATCCTTTTGTTATTGTTTCATAGTTATCATATTAGAGAGGTAAATCAATTTAATAGTTTGTGTATTGTTATGTAGCAATAGTGGTTAAACCACAACATTCCTCGAACATTTATTTATCACGGTTTCTTCACAGTCCTTAGCATAGTTGTTAATATGCCTGTTGTTGGCCTTAGCTATATATTAGAGGCATCCTAGTCCGCGGCTAGGTGAGCAGATATCCTTAGGTAGGGCGCGTAGGCAAGGCGTAGGTAAGAGCGTTAACAACGTGCACACAATGTAGGGGCAGTAAGGGCCTACCGGTTGCGGATAGCAACGTTAGCATACCGCGTGGCAAGCACCGTAGCGAGCATAGGCAAGCGCCCGTAAGTCCCCTGCACGTACCCGCGCCGGGCGCGGATCCCCTCTGGACCCCGATGCTAGGACAGAAGGTGCCTTTGACCTGGTGAAGAGCCAGGCCGAGGGAGGAAAGGAAGCCGCCTCCGGCACGACACAAGTTTTGAGCTGCTTCTTCATTTTGGAGCAAAGATCAAGTGCAAAACGGAGTTGTCTAAAAATTCTAATTTGTGTCGACACAACTCTACAATAAAAACAAAGAAGAATGGGAAATCAAGCAAATCTCCTTATATAGTGCAGAAAATTGCCTATTAAATAAAAGTGAAAACGCAATGGGCGAAATTTCTGGAAGTACGCCAGAGTTTTGTGTGAAAAAAACGCCACTACTCATGGGCTAATCAATATTTAAGCCTTCAAAATTCCAGGGAAAGTTGAACGCCTTCTGCTTTCGGTAGAACAGAGCGGTTAAAACCTTCGTAGCTCTCCTTTGAAGGGAGTTCAGACTGCGAGCAAAGAGTTCACAACAGCGTTTGAAAATGCCTCTAACGACAGGTTTCTCTCATGAAACACGTACCAAAATTTAGCAGTGCTATTAAGAGGTGCTAAATGCTATCCGTTAGACAGGGAGTTCGCCCTTTCAGTTAATCTATAAGAAAACCTACGCGAGCGTCACGGTCCATCTCTTGGATCCGAATACAGATGTCACGAAGACTTTCATCGGGCGCTGTTGAACAAAAATCTTGAGCTTTTGAGAAGAGTACGAGTGCACACAGAATACATAGTTGAGGAACATGAATCATGTTATCCCTGAAATCGATGAACTTGGGTGAAAAGAATTCAAAGTAAAAGCTCAAATGTAAGACGCCCTTAACTTGACTTTTTTCCATAGAGAAATTAGTGGAGCTTTCTCCTGCTTTCCACCTTCACTGGGGCAACATGTTAGTGATTATGATCTATTATCGGTTAGTAATACAAAATATAAAAGTTGCAGAATGAAGGAAAGCAGTCAAAGGCATCAGATATACACTCGAAATCCCTGAGATGCGGTAGGCGTGTCTGCGTACTTCAACTAAACGTGGCGTTGACTGTGCTTTTGGTGAGACATTTTCATTTTGGACAATTGTGGTCATGTCCTTTATCCAACACAGAAACAAGATGCCAATTTTCTCAAGCTGAAAACCCCGATGATTATCCCTCCTATGCCATGCTCGATTGCAATGCTTGCTCCGTCTCAGGGATAAGGAGTATGTGTAGGAACTTGGAGTAGGCGGGCTTCGGCTTAGGCGGTATGGAGAAATAACAGCCAACACTATAAGTCGCCTGAGTACGAAGTTCGGTTGCCAGTTTTGTAGGTCTGTCAAAACCACCAAGGTCCACCTTTTATTTGGTCACTACATTACACTTTAGTGAGCCTAGTGAGCACAGGTGGATGTGAGCACGTGTGAAGTATATTAGCGAAAAAAAAACTGGTTAACAAAGAGTGTGGCATCGCTTCTTGCGATTTCTCTACCCTGTGCCCGCAACTTTCATTTTCACAAATAAAATGTGTCTGGAATAACTGTGGATCCACAAAAACACTGCTATGAACCCAAATGAGGCGGAGGTGGTGTAGTGACAAGTGGCGCGCTTCACTCGCGCGGTGCCGGGTTCGAATCCCAGGTCGACACCCGCCCAGGCCAACCAAGCCTTCTACCCTCCGGGGACGGTAAATTGGTACCAGATTCGTCTGGGAGGATAAAACACTGACTTGTACATCGGCTGGCCACCGCAAGTCATTGTATAGGCCACATCGCATTCAATAAGCCACTACGATTCTGAATGGAAGTAGAATGCGTGCCGCATCCCACAAAGGGATTGACGGCGAAGACTTTATCCTTTCATCCTTTTATAAACCTAAGCAAAGTAATAGCTATGAGAATGAGGCACCACTCTGGCTCCAATGGTGCTGGCGGCAAGAACGAATTCGTAGCCAGGACATCAAATAGTTCTATTCCGTAAGAGTTCACCGATTTGGTGGAGAAAGTGATCACGCCAATTTGGCGCCTCTCAGCCTAGGAAAACTCAGAGACTGTTCACAAAAAATGGTGATCTACCAGTTTTAGTGTGCAGCATGTGAGCACTGTACGTAAAAAGCGGAGGAAGCACCAAGCGACAAGTTAAAGAACACCTCACGGGGAATCGGCGAGAAAGCTCAAATCCCGCATCAGTTCTGCCCAGGTCCACCAACTTTCTTCTCTCCGTGCCTCAGGGGACAGTAAGCGGTCCTAGGCCCATTGTAGAATACAGTGATTCACGCAGCATCTCCCCCGCATGTCGTGGAGGGCCCATATCGTATTCAATAAGTAAGCCGCTACAATTCTGAGAATACGCGGCTATCCCATAAAGTAAATGATCAGTTCGAATAAATTCAGAAGAGTGAAGGCA